CTTTAACATCCTGAAGGATTTAGCATTTGGACTGCTTGAGAGGCAGAAGGGTGGGGCCCGGAGAGGAGCGCGAACTGCGCGCTCAGACCGGTGGGGTACACGGCAGGTGAACCTGGTGTCAGAGCACATCTGGTGCGAGGACTTCCTGGTGCGGAGCTTCTACCTTAAGAACGTGCAGACCCAGGAGACGCGCACGCTCACTCAGTTCCACTTCCTAAGCTGGCCGGCAGAGGGCACTCCGGCCTCTACCCGGCCTCTGCTGGACTTCCGCAGGTGAGCAGGCTGCCAGCGCCACCCGGATCTTCCTGGGGTCCCTGATCTGACCTGCAGCCTCGCCCTAACCTCTGTACCTTTCACCAGCCTTTCATCCCCAAACCAGTACTGGCCATGCCGCCCCAGCCTGGTGTGCTTCTCACACCCACTTTCTCCCAGAGCCTCTCCACTAGCCGACTCCTTTGCGGGCTTACCTGGAGACCGGGTCCCCATTTCTAGTTCCCTTCTCCCGCCGGCCTCCCGCCGGCTCCTACTTTGATTCCTCCCTCCAGTCTCTTGCCTTGTCCTTCTGGCCCTCAGCTCTGTGCTCACTTGCCCTTTCTCTCTCATCCAGCTTTCATCCTCATCTTTCTTCCTGTCTTTTTGCCTGGTTTTTATTTCTCTCTTCCTTTCTTTCTTTCCCATCACTGTCCCCTCCCTCCCTCCCCTCCCCTCCCCTCCTCTCCCCTCCTCTCCTGTGTGTGTGTGTGTGTGTGTGAGAGAGAGAGAGAGAGAGAGAGAGAGAGAGAGAGAGAGAGAGAGATATCTGCTGATATCCTTCAGTTGAACAGCCACAAAGCTGGTCATTAGCAGGTGGGGCAACCGCCTAGACAGAAGAAACAGGCAGACAGGCCTGATAAGGGACTATATACCAAAGGCTGCTTGGAGAACTGGGGCAGGGGGTCAGGTGAGCTGGCACACACCTGTAACCCCAGATGTGCACAAGGTCAGGTGAGATGATGCACACCTGTAACCCCAGATGTGCAGGTGGTCAAGTGAGATGGCACACACCTGTAATCCCAGCTGTGCAGGGGGCTGAGGCAGAAGGTCTGCAAGTTCAAAGCCAGTCCCAGCATCTTAGGGAGCCCTTGTCTCATAAATAAAAGAAAGAAAAGGGGTTAGGGATGTAACTCAGTGGTTGAGAACTTTCTGAGCACACAAAAAAATCCTTATCACTGAATAATTTTATTATTATTTATTATTAAAAATAATACAAGTTTTGTTTGGGTTCAGGGATAGAGTATGAGTGAGGCCTTGGTTTGACCCCCATATCTACAAAAAAGTAAACTAGCGAAGTCCCCAACAGAGTCACTGTAGGTCACTACATAGATTTTTTTAAAAGGCCATACAGGTAAGCTAAAGAGTCCCTGAGGTTTACACCAGAACTATATAAATTCAGCTGGCATGTGACAGCTAGAACAAAGTAATTGTTGTGAACGGATGCATTTTGATGACCTGACCTCAGGGCTAGTGTGGATTACAAACCTGAGTTTCGTGACTGTGGAGCGAGCAGAGCCGACCTGGAAGTTCCCAGAACCACTGTTGATTTTTCTCCACCTCACTAACTACCACTCGTGGAGTGAGCCTTGGCACGCGAGTTCTTGATGTAGGTTATCTATCCCATGGCATTTTGTAAGAATCCTAAAAAAGCCAGGCAGTGGTGGCTCACGTCACTAATCCCAGCACTTGGGAGGCAGAAGTAGGTGGATCTCTGAGTTTGAAGCCAGCCTGGTCTATAAAGTGAGTTCCAGGACAGCCAGGGCTACACAGGGAAACCCTGTTATTCCAGGTTCGCAGTTTGAGCACATGGCTTCTGAGTGACAAGCAAGCCCAGCGCCATCCACGCCATCCACTGCAGCTCTCACCCTCTCACAAGGCCGCAGAGGGAGAAAGGCAGCCTGTGAGCGCACACTGGTGTGCGGTTAGCGCATCATCCTGGCTGGCTTTTCTGATCTTCACTTCTCATTGCAGGAAGGTGAACAAGTGCTACAGAGGGCGGTCCTGCCCCATCATCGTGCACTGCAGGTGGGTGGGCCCTGCCGGGCATGCGCGCGCAAGCACACACACACACACACACACACACACACACACACACACACACACACACGAATGTCAGCCCACAGCACTGGAAATGTTTACTCTTTGGCCCTTTCTGTGGAGAGCTGGCTGAACAAAAGCCTAACCCACCAGACTGGAAAGGGCCATTCCCATCCTACCCTGCTGCCTCCACTAAAAACTGAGCCATGGTTGTACTTTCTAGTTGTCCACATATCTGCCACTCACCATGGCTTACTAATGCTCTTCAGGGGCCAGCTCTAATAATCAACCAATGTCCTCACTGCAACCCCCATGTCTGCTCCCTTCCTGCCCTGTCGGAGCTAAGCCTGTCTGTCACCAAATCCTATTTCAGTGACGGTGCAGGGAGGACAGGCACCTACATCCTAATTGACATGGTACTGAATCGCATGGCCAAAGGTAAGGTCTGTTCCCACAGCGCCCGCAGCCCCTGGCCCCTCATGGCTCCCCAGTACCCCGTGGGTCTGAGACCCCACTAGGGAGCATGTGGCCACATCTCTCAGATTTGCCAAAGATGCAGGGCTTTATGGGACTTATTCTCCCCTGGACACGCCTTTAAGCCCTGCCTACTCCACCCTGTCCCCAGGAGTGAAGGAGATCGACATTGCTGCCACCCTGGAGCATGTCCGTGACCAGCGGCCTGGCCTTGTCCGCTCTAAGGTGACAGTACCTCCCTGTCTTTCCCTAGTCACTTCCCTTCCCAAGCACTCTCTTCATGACCACCATGAAGAAACCAGCAACAGCCTGCCCCTCCTGCATCCCCCAAGAAGCCTCTTCCCTTCCAAATTCCCAGCACCCTCCACCCCTGCCATGTCCCCTCGGGCAGACTCAGAGGCTAGGTTTCTCCTGACCCTTCTGCCACTGGCCTTGCACAGGACCAGTTTGAGTTTGCGCTGACAGCCGTGGCAGAGGAGGTGAATGCCATCCTCAAGGCCCTGCCCCAGTGAGCCCCCTGGGCACCTCAGTGAGCATCCTGGCCTCTGCTCCTCCTGCCTGTGTGAGCATTCGTGCACCTGCTCTTCAGTCCACCCATCTGCCATCTTGGGCACGGTAGCCCTTCCCAGCCCAGCGTGGAAGGAAGTGGGGTGCGGAGGGGCGGATCCACCCAGATTCTTTCATGCTAGAACCAAGGCAGTCCATGGGAGACAGACAGCAGGCAGGGGAGGAGTGGACACCAGCAAGGGTGCCCGAGCCCCATCCTACCTGAGTCTCTGTCTCCCCCTCCCCATGTCTGGATGTCCCCCACACCCACCAGCCTGCAGTGTATAGACAGAGCAGGATGAGAAGGCCCCAGCTCCCCCAGCCCTGCTACCACTGGCTTGCCACCTTGACCCTGCTCAGCCTTCTCCCTCTAGCACAAGAGAACATTTCTAGAAAAATCTACTTTTGTATAAACGTGAATAAAGTTAGTGTGCTGTCTGTGCGGCTGCAACACGGACCCGTTTGCTGTTCTGTCTGCTGAGCTTCCAGGCTCCAGCTGTAGCGTCGGCCTGAGCTGTCTCCCTGGAGACACTGAAAGCGGAGACCTACAGGTGACACCAGCTGCAGAGGTGCCATAACTGTCCTTGGTTTGAGAAGTGCCTGATAACACGGCTTCCAGGTGGCTAGCGGGTTCCAATGACCAATGACACCTCCTATACAAAGAATACAGTGTGGTCCTAGCCCAAGCCATGAAACTTGACATGGTGGAGTCCCGATTCAAACCTTGGTCAGCTGGGCCTTCACATAGCCTTTCCTCCCTGTTCTTAGAATGCTGCCTCATGTCCTTCAGTCTCAGGAATGACATTTTCATCACACAGGGCTGTGGGGACCATCTACCTGCCACATCTCAGATGATAGCTACCACAGCCAACTCTGCCAGTGCAGCGGTGGAGCAAGTACCCCTGGGGGGGGACACTTTCTCTTTCACCTCATCCTCCTTTAGGGGTGGACCTTGTGCCCTCTCCTCCACTCCAGGAGCCCTCACCTGAATGTCATAAGAAACCCCAAACAGTGATTCCAGACACAAAGAAGAGCTGAACTGGGCCTGGGGTCTGGGGCCACTCGCTCATGCTGGAGTTCACATAAAAACACGGTGAATTCTGAATGCTGGAGCTAAGAAACAACCTCACCCCAGCGTCTGCGCTTTGCTGGGGCTCAGCTCTGGTGTCCTTCGTGGCAAAGGCTCCAAGTGGGCAAAGCATCATTCTGCATGTCCTGGCAGAGGCTCAGGATGGGGGCTTGGGAGGGGAGGCTGCTGCTTTAGCTTCGAGAAGTTGGCGAGGCCCTTTGGCCCCCGAAGATGAAGTTGCCGGTAATTTGCAGGGCCATAGCCTCTTGTAGAAAAGCAGAGGTGCTGGTTCTGTGGCTGGTTCCTTCATCCCTGGGCCTGGGCATTGAGTAGGATGGCATTCCACATGCCCCTGGTTCACACCCCTGGAGGGGCTGACGCTAGAGCCCTCGGGTGCTGTTTAAAATCATCAGGGGTTGTCACTGGTGGTCACACCTTTAACCCCAGCACTCGGGAAGCAAAGACGGGTGGATCCCCATGATTTTGAGCTACATGGAGAAACTGTCTTGAAAACACACACACACACACACACACACACCAATCAGGTGTCACCATCTGTTCTTTGTGAGTCCCCATGCTTTCAATCAAGTCTTAACTCAGCCTGGGCCTTGCTGTACCGCAGAGAACTGGGAACTAGGTCCCCTTACCAGAGGGAACTTCAGGGTCAAGCTAGTTGTGGGGCCCTGGAAGTGATGACACACACCACACTCAGGGAGGACCACCCGATCAAGGCTCGTCCCTTCAGCTGTTTGGCATAGGGAAGGCATGAGGTCTAAAGTGTCACCTCATCGTCCCAGAAGGGTCCTCTTAGGCAGTCTTGGGAAGGAGACACGCAGAGCACTAAACTCTCAAAATTCAGCTTTATTAGTTTCCTTTTTCCCTGAGTCTGAGCTCAGTAATCTGGCTTTGACAGGCCTGAGAGGCTCAGCGTTACAGGGGCTGGCCACAGCCTGTTCCACCAACCCCCTCACTGGCCGTGGACTCCCCAGGCAGGAGGACAGGTGGCTCGTGGGGGATGAATGATGATAAGAAAGAATGGGCAGCAAGGTCAGAGGCCAAAGAAAGCCATTCAAGCAGTACGTCCAACACTTCCTCGGCATGCCAGTCTTTGCCATACATACTCCAGCCAAGACAGCCTCCTCTCCCACGCTCCGCCGGACACACCTACTCAGGCCACTGTCCCACTAGCTTAGTCCTGGAACCGCAGGTTGCCCAAGGGAAACAACCTTCTAGAGGCTACAGGACTCGAACGTGCTCACTCTAACCTGGGTCTAGCAAGAAGTATCAGAACTATGGTTCTGGTCTTTTCTCCTTCATCCACAATTCTCACCACCCCTTCCAGGGACAAGATGAAAGATGAGATCTCCTCATTCAGATTGGCAGGCTGGCCAGGGTTGGAACTACATATCCCAAGAAGCACCACTTCCCCTGGGATAAGAGCTATCAGAAACGAGGCCAGGGTGCTCTGGGACTTGTAATCCGCAAGAGACAGCACTAAACATACAGGGGAGAGAGTTCAGAGGCTAAGAAGACTATGGGTGCCTCCCACTCAGTCCCCACCCACCCCCCAGGCCCCAGCCCTACACTCAGCATAAGTGGGGGAGAGGGATGTAGTGTTCCCTCCTAGCACACTGGGGAGGGCGCTGTCCTGGTGGAACTGCAGCAGCTCTGTATCCAGGGTATCCAGCTCAGAACACATCTGGGGAGAGAGCAGGGGTGGGTGACAGGAGAGAGGGGTCAGCTGCAAGCAGATGGGGGGGGGTGGAGCCGAGCATGCACACCTAGGCCAAGCCCTGTGTTCTAATGCATGATAGACAGGTAGTAGAGATGTAGTCCCCCACCTAGGCCTCCCACTGGGTCACCCTGGCCCTAGCCCACCTCTCCAGGGACAGCCAGCCTCACCTCTGCCTAGTCCTGTGGCCAGGGCAGGCTGAGGCAGCAAGGAGAAGGGAAGAGGAGTTGACTCTGGTTGAGACTCTGGAGGGATGAGAGGCTTCCACCCCACCTAGCTAGCCTCCCCAGAAGATCTCACGGCCCCACTGGCCCCAGCATCTTCCTTGGGCACACTGAGGCTTCAGAGAGGAGGAGGAGGAGGAGGAGGGAGTCCTAGCCAAGCAGCAGTGAAAGCAAGCGATGCAGCCACAGGGAGTTGCGGAGTGCAGAGCAGGAGAGCAGCACCAGAGGGGAAACAGAGACATGACAGGTGAGAACTCAGTTCTGTGCAGACCAGGAGGCATGCAGCTGGGGATGGACAGCAGAGGCTCCGCTTGCTCGGCCCTGCGCTGCTCCCCAGGGGAGCTGCCGACCTGAGCTCAGGGCATGCCAGGTCAAGGCCTCCTTCCTTGATAGCATCAGCAATACAGATGGCAGCAGAAGACTTGGGCACAAAAGACCCAACCCCAAACCACTAACGCCCCTCAGCAGTGCCGGATCCAGCCAGTGCCTCTGGGCTCCACAGGCCCTTTCATGGCCCCGGTACCCCCAATCCTGGGCTTTACCCAGGGATTTATCAGCCCCAAACAGAGCATAACAAATCCCTGGTCCACACTGTAGGATGGAAACTTGTGGAGGGACAGAGTTTGGGAGCCTGTAGCTCAGGCCACACTCAATTTTGGACTCCCCACAGTGAGCTGGACTCTGGGTCAGACCCTGAATCAGGTCAGGCTCAGCCTGGTCTTCAGAGAATGAGGCATCGAGAGGCCTTCTCCTCTGAAGGGCTGGGTTTGGTTGCCTCGCCCCTCGCCCCCTTATGTGTGCCTCCCATATCAGGGTCTTGGTGCTGGGCCCTGGACTGGCCCTGCCATCCTGGCTGTGCCCCCCGCCCACCTGCTGGCTTCTGCCCAGCTGCTTCCATCTCTGACAGGCTGTAGGCCATGGCAAGCTGCAGGTCCTCGTCCTCAGAAAGGTCGCTGTCAGTGGGACGGGACACAGCGGTCGGCCGGACCTGTGTGCCCCCCAGCCTGGAGGTGCCTGAAGGTTGCTGCTCACGGCGGCTCAGCTCCAAGCCTAGTGCCAGGTCATCTGGGACACCTGCGAGAGTCACAGCCACCCATCAGGTCCCAAACCCAAGCTGGTGGTCATGCTGGACCCCCTCACAGAGTCTCTCTGGAACTAACACACATACGTTAGGTTACAAGGTTATTTAGCATCCCGGGTTATGGCTCTGTCACCTCAGGCAGAGTATGCAGCCTCCCTGTGCCTCCCTCATCTATGCCATGGGGATGAGGAGATTGTCTACACATGCAAATTGTCCCAGGGACTAACCCATGTCAATTGCTTGTCACTATGCTCAGTGCTGGCAGGGAAGTAGCTAGCCACAGCGACAGTCCTTGGGGAAAGAGCTCCACTTTAGGGATCCCGAGTTTGATCCTGGGCTGGTGCTGTAGCCCAGCATGTACAAGGCTCTGCCTTCATACTCCAGTGCCTGTACACACACCACACACCTACATTCACACCCCCCATACATACACCCTATGCCTCATCTTGATTCTAGGCTTAATTTACCCTTTCTATATGGTAGGCAATAGTCTTGAGCTAGAGGCTACTTACAAGTGAGGGTCATTTAAACAAACTTCGGCTCAGGCCCCTCAAATAAAAACTGGACAAATATGACCTACGCTGCTTTACTTTTTCTTTCTTTCTTTCTTTCTTTCTTTCTTTCTTTCTTTCTTTCTCTCTCTCTTTTTTTTTTTTTTTTTTTTTTTGGTGTTTTTTGAGACAGGGTTTCTCTGTGGCTTTGGAGCCTGTCCTGGAACTAGCTCTTGTAGACCAGGCTGGTCTGGAACTCACAAGAATCCGCCTGCCTCTGCCTCCCAAGTGCTGGGATTAAAGGAGTGCGCCACCATCGCCCAGCTGCTTTACTTTTTCTCTTAAGAACACAGGACTGGGGAGATGGCTCAGCTGGTTCAGTGCTTGCTGTGCAAGTGTGAGGACCTGAGTTCAAATCCCCAACATGTGAGGAAAAAGCTGGGTGTGGCAGTGCACATGTGTAATTCCAGGGCAGGAAGAGCAGAGGCAGGAGGATTCTCTGGGGCTCACTGGCCAGCCAATCAAGCAGAATCAGTGAGCTCCAAGTTCAGGGAAAGACTCTGTCTCAAAAAATGAGGGAGGGGGGAAAAGAGGACATGACATGGCAGGTGGGACCTGGAAGGAGTAGGAGGATGAGGCGGGGCATGAATATGATCAAAATACTTGTATGGAGCCGGGCGGTGGTGGCGCACACCTTTAATCCCAGCACTCGGGAGGCAGAGGCAGGCAGATCTCTGTGAGTTCGAGACCAGCCTGGTCTACAAGAGCTAGTTCCAGGACAGGCTCCAAAACCACAGAGAAACCCTGTCTCGAAAAACCAAACAAAAAAAAAATATGTTGTATGCTTGTATGTCGTTCTCAAAAATAAATAAAAAATTGGGGCTGGAGAGAGAGGACCAAAGTTTGGTTCCCAGCACCCTCATCAGGAGGGTCACAACTGCCTGTAACTCTGTCTACAAGAGGACCTGGAGATGCCTTGGACCTGTGAGCACCTGCACAGACACAAACACATATATACACACAACTACACCTAATTAGTGTATATGTGTGTGTGGTGTGTGTGTATAATATATACATATGTATATATATAAATTTTAAAAACAAAATAGAGGAAGATGGCAGACCTTGACCTTTGGCCTCCACAGATGCACTCATAGGTATATACAGAGTGTATCTCTCTCTCTCTCTCTCTCTCTCTCTCTCTCTCTCTCTCTCACACACACACACACACACACACACACACACACACACACAGAAAAGAGGGAAAGAGAAAGAAAGACAGGAAGAAAAGAAAGGGAAAGAGAAGGAAACCCCCACAGTGGCACTCTATATGAGCAGAGCCTCTAACTTAGTGGCATAGAGTTTGCCCAGCATGCCTGGGTTCAAGGCCCAGTGTCCCTCACACAGAGTCAAGAGCCTTGCAAACAGAAGGCATCCCTCTAATCATAATGGTAATTAGCTAGCCATCTGAGACTCTTCTCCCCACTCCAATGGAGGTAGGAGCCACGTGGGTCTACGGCTTCCTGCCAGAACCCCACTCACCATTGATGGAAACTGACTTCAGCTGTCAGTCCTCTTCCACCTCTACACGTTCCTGCCCATTCTCCATGATTCTGTGGAAGGCGGCACAGTCAGCGAGCGGACTGGTCCAGGCTCTGACCATTACAGCCATCAGGGCGGACTCCGTGTTCACACAGCACTTGCTTTTACCCCTCACCCCCAGCACCCCCACCTGTTCGGCCCCAGAAGGAGCGCTCACCTACGCGTGGTGATGCGGCGTCCTTGGACAAAGGTAGTGGATGTTGAAACAGAACGAAAAGCACCAGCCCCAGGGCTGAAGGAGAAGGACGAGGAGGAGAAATCTGGCGTTGGGACAAAGAGGCAAAGGGGAGGCTATGGGAGGGAGGTTCCTGACTACTTATCACTGTCACCAAAAGCCAGGGGCCTTGGGGGCTTCACTCAGACCCGCCCCCCATCCCCCCACTAGCAAAAGCCAGGGGCCTTGGGGCTTCACTCAGACCCGCCCCCCATCCCCCTACTAGCAAAAGCCAGGGGCCTTGGGGCTTCACTCAGACCTGCCCCGCTAGCAAAAGCAAAGCCAATTTTGGGGACTCCAGGACTCACGATTTGCAAAAACAGAAAGGAACAGTGCTTACCAGAGTGGCCAGGAGAGGAGGAAGAGAAGGCAAAGAAAGGACCAGTGGGTCGGGAACCTAGGTTCTGAAGCTCTGAGAAGGGGCCCAGGTCATCTGCAAGAGGGAGATTAGCCGCTGGTGAGGAGATGATTCCCTCTAAAACCATGTGGCTGATGTTTTAAAACATAGAAATCAAGAAGCAACCGCGTGCACTTCTGATTTTTTTTTTCCGGTTCTGGTGGTGCAAATTTACACATTTTTAAAACTGTTTTGGAAAGGGGTCCCAGTAGCTCAGGCTAGCCTCAAACTTAATAGACAGATAAGGATGGCCTTGACTGCCTCACCCTGGGCCTCCTCCTCCCAAGTTGGGAGATTAGATGTGTGCTCCACCACGTACCATGTCTGGCTCTCAAGTGTAACCAGGCTTGTCGAAGCAGTCTCATAAATCACCAAATCTGGTGATTAAGATTTGTGTGAGTGTTTCGTTTTGTGGTGTTGAACACCGAGATCAGCACCTTGCCCGTGCTAGACAGGCGTCTACCACTGAGCCCCTTCCTGGTCACCCAGGTGGGATTCTAAGCTGATATGCATGTGTCTCGTGGGAATTAAAACCCCTCACCTCTCAGGATTTACGAGGCTTAGGGGACGCAGGCTCTTGAAATATATTAGTCATTAAGAACTGGTGTCTGTTGTTATGTGTAACGCTGCTACAGCTGTCACGTGACGCTTGGAGTCTCGTTCCCCTGGTGGCTCCTGTGGAGGTTTAACAATGTGCTCTTGTGTCATTTAATAAGGCCAGTCTGTGAAGTGTCACTGGTGTGTCACGTGAGGCCTGGCATGTGTGAGGTTCTGTCCCGGCTTTCCCTGGACTCACGCCCACACAACCTCAAATCATCTTCACGAATTTGCGTGTCATCCTTGCGCAGGGGCCATGCTAATCTTCTCTGTATCGTTCCAATTTTAGTATATGTGCTGCCGAAGCGAGCACCAACCTCAAATCATCTGCTGTGAAATTCCAGTTCCATCCAAGCCTCTAGCCTGAGAGATCCCAAGAGGACAGACAGCAGGCAGGAGGAGGAGGAGGAGGAGGAGGAGGAGGAGGAGGAGGAGGAGGAGGAGGAGGAGGAGGAGG